AAAATACGAAAATAGTAATTGGTCATATTCTAGGTCCTGAATTGATTCATAAATGAGTTGACGGGATGCTGAACTTGGAGGTAAGTGTTTATTTGCCCAATTCGTTCTCCACTTCTTTTCAAAACTCACCATGGAATTTTCATAGCGTTTCTCTACTCTGTGTCAATGAAACGTTTGCCAAAATGCCTCCAGGAAATTCGATTTATGGAGGATGAAAAAGGAAATTATTTGAAGCAGGGAGGTTTTTAACGTATTGTTTCTACGGGAATTCAGACAGGAACTCGAAAATATATTGGACACAGGGAGGTATTTGACTTTATGAGGTTTGATTTATCAAAAGGTTCACCCGTATTTTATTTATTGAGTATTTCAATATTCTTTCTGCAGATTGGACTGAACGCGTTGCACTTGGCGTCGAAAGAGGGCCATGTAGACATCGTGAAGGAACTGCTGAAGCGTGGTGCAAATGTGAACACGGCGACGAAAAAGGGCAATACTGCCCTGCACATCGCATCTTTGGGGGGCCAGCTGGAGGTCGTCAAGTTGCTCATCCAGTATGGGGCAGCTGTTAACATGCAATCGCAAAATGGCTTCACCCCACTTTACATGGCAGCGCAAGAGAATCACGACCAAGTGGTGCGATTTCTGCTCGCATCGGGTGCCAATCAAAGCATCGGCACGGAGGTACGTTTCCTCGCGTCTCTATTGATCGCGAAGGCATTTTTCCTGACCGGGCATCTGTCGAGAATTCTTGATACCGGACTGGAAAGGATCTCCTTCGCTACGGACGAGAGCATGTTTATTTGAAAGACTAGTGTCCTGATTCGTGCGATGATGGGAAATTGAACGTATTGTACCCGTTTTCACTGTCACTGAACAGTATAAAGATAGAGGGTTGGTCCGATTTGCGAAGTGTCTGAACTGAAAAAAAAATAAGTCGGGAAGAAGATCATAATCTCTTGCGTCTCAGCCCCTTCGTGGAGAGTTGAGCAGCTCCCGGAAGATAAGTACACAACGAAAAGGTACCCGGGGACTGGTTAGAAAAAGAACCCGCGACAAAAAAAAATCCTCATGGGTAAGTGGGGCTGTGGGACCCGACAGGTGAGGGATTGATAGGTCAGTTGACGCCCATATCAGGTTTTTATTGGACCGCTCGAGCTTTAAATTTTTAGAAATGCCGTAAAATCTTGTGAAAACAAAGTTTTTAGCATATAACTTTATCTCAAGTCCCTGCAGAAAGCCCATGAAGTACGTGTTGAAACAATCTCACCATTTTAAACTTCCCAATTCCAGTGCGAACTACTTTTTTGAGGAATGTTTAATAGATTCTCAAGGTAAACAAAATTACGCACTGAAACAGGCGTAGTCCGAAATTTTAGATCTCAAATGTGATCGACCGGTTCTTTTAGCATGTATCGGAGCTGTAATCAATCACTAACATACATCCAAGATTCAAGTGGTTCCGCACATCATCCCAGAATTAAATTGGATTGGCGCAACTGCTGGAATGCATGATGAAAAATTAATTTTTTTCAGGAAATCAGTTTTTCCATCAGTAAAAAAAAAAAAAGATTATGCCAGAAAAGCAAGATATATTTGATTATACTGTAGTCATATTTTAAGTGAACATTTTTCCAGTCATTGATTTTAAAAATCTCGTTATTAGCAAATGATCCAGTGGAAAAAAACTTCTCAAGTCCCCGAAAGTTTGTTGTAATGAAATTTTACTGCAGTGTATTCCTTGGAAATATTGTTTTGGAATGTTGCATCCCTTGAAAACATCGTCTGGAATATTGTGTTCTGTTGCAGGGTTGCTTCAAAAAAACCTTGAAATGACGGGTGATAAATTTTCATAAAAATAAACTCATCAGTCGGCAATGGTTTTTTCTGTCGACAGTGAATATAAGCAGTTAAAACACCAATAA